GATGATGAAGATGATGGTGATGGTGGTAGTACTTATGGTGGTGATGGTGATGATGATGGTGGTGGTGATGATGAAGATGATGGTGATGGTGGTAGAACTGATGGTGGCGATGGTGATGATGATGATGGTGATGATGAAGATGATGGTAATGGTGGTAGTACTGATGGTGGCGATGGTGATGATGATGATGGTGGTGGTGATGAAGATGACGGTGATGGTGGTAGTACTGATGGTGGTGATGGTGATGATGATGGTGGTGGTGGTAGCAGTAGTGGTGATTGTGATGAGGTGGTGATGGTGGTGCTGGGTGCTGGTGGTGATGGTGATAGTGGCGGTGGGAGTGGAGTGGAGGTGCGGGTGATGATGGTGGGGCAGTGGTGGCGATGGTGGCACTGATAATAGCGGCAGTGGTGATGGTGGTGATGGCAGTGGTATGGGTGGGAGGGGTGAAACGTGGTGATAGTGGTGTAGGTAGTGGTGATGATGATGGCGATTACGATGGTCATAGTGGTGTGATGGTGGCTGCATTAATGTCAACATTTTGCCATCACTCCCATTATCCCATATGCTGGGATTGGAAAGAGAGTCTCTGGGGCCAGACCGAGTGTGTGCAAAGTGATAAGGCAGTGAGGGGCCTTACTTGAGTCTCTTTGGCATCAGGATAAATACCTCCCACTCTGTGGCCTGGAAACAGTTGAGTATTTAAAAATAGAATTTTATGAGCCATCGGGGCCTTTCCAGAAATGCATCTGTATGGATGGGCCCCAGCAGACATCTTCATTCTGGGCCCACAGCCTCACCCACTGGAGGCTCTCGGCTGGAGAGGGCCTGTCCCAGCAAGTGGCGCCCTGTCCTGGGGGAGACGCAGCCTTCCGTCTCCCTGCCCCTGTACTGGATTCTTCAGCACTGACTCATCTTGACTTCTGCAAGGGATCAGTCAGCTGTCGCAGTCACCTCAGTGCACTGGCAAATCTCACCAGTCACTGTAACGTGGCTTTGCCGTTGCCCGACCAAGACCAGCCTGGAAGGAGAGGTGCCCCAGAAATGGAGGAGCTGTGTCTCTCTTCTGACCTGGCTGGGAGACCCACAGCGGGCTTCCTGTCACTGAACCTCAGTTCCTTTCACTCCAAAATGGGATAAATAATCCCTTCCTCCAAACACTGGTGAGAATTGAATGAATATTTATGTAGAATGAGAACTGTAGGGATTGTTGATGTTTTATCACCGGAGGAGCTGGAGATTTTGCTGTCGGATAGAAACGAGATACAAGCTACATACAAGCCACTTCTTTTAAATTTTCTTCTTTTAAATTTTCTTTTAAAGAGGCAAAAAGAAACAGGTACAATTAATTTTAAAAGCCAGTGTGGTGGCTGATGCCTGCAGTTCCAGCACTTTAGGTGGCTGAAGTGGAAGGATTGTTTGACTCTAAAAGTGTCAGACCAGCCTGGGCAGCACAGGGAGACCTCGTTTCTATAAAAATTAAGTTAAATTAAAAATTAGCTGGGCATGGTGGTGCACACCTGTAGTCTTGGCTACTCGGGAGGCTGAGGTGGGAGGATCACTTGAGCCCCGGAGATTGAAGCTGCAGTAAGCTGAGATCAAGCCACTGTGTCCCAATCTGGGAAACAGAGCAAGATCTTGTTTCAAATAAAAAAAAAACAAACAAGGATTTAATTTTAATAATATATTTAGTCCAATAGATCCAAAATATCATCATTTCAAGATATAAGCAATATAAAAATCATTAATAAGATATTTAGCATTCTTTTTGTAGTAAGTCTTTGAAATATAGTGTATAGTATATATTCATAGCACATCTCAAATGTGAATTTTCACTGGCAATACTTGATCTGTATTTAGATTTCATAAAACTTACAGTTGAAAATGTAGGTTTATATACCCAAGTTACTCCAAACAAATTTTATAGCAACATAATTGGGTGTCAACATTTAATGTTTTTGTTTGTTTGTTTGTTTGAGACGGAGTCTCGCTCTGTCGTCCAGGCTGAAGTGCATTGGTGTGATCTCAGTTCACTGTAACCTCCACCTCCCCGGGTTCAAGAAATTCTCATCCCTCAGCATTCCTGAGTAGCTGGGATTACAGGCATGCACCACCATATCTGGCTGATTTTTGTATTTTTAGTAGAGACAGGGTTTCACCATGCTGGCCAGGCTGATCTTGAACTCCTGACCTCAAGTGATCCACCCACCTCGGCCTCCCGAAGTGCTGGGATTACAGGTGTAAGTCACTGTGCTGGACTTAAATTTAATTTTAAGTTAATTAAAGTTAAATAATATTAAGAATTCAGTTCCTCAGTCATAGGAGCCACATTTCAAATGTTCAGTAGCTGTATGTGGCTAGATCAGTAGCCGTATGTGGAGGCCACAGGGCTGGTCCCATATTAGAGGTGGGGAAACTGAGGTTCAGGGAAAGAGCAGGACTTATCCAGGGGCACATGTAGACTCAGGCATCAGGATGCAGGCAGTCTGTGCCAGCGTCCTTCCTGAGCCAATGTTCCTGGCCTTCTGAGGGCCACAGGGTGGTCTGCCTGGTGCTTTCCTTTGGGACAGCGTCATCTTCTCTGGCATCATAACTGATGCTGTGTTATGTCTTTAGAGCAGATATCTCTCCCTTGTGCTGAATCAAAGCCAACCGCCCCATAATTTTCATGTGCTGGCTACCTTAGAGAACACAGCTGGCCCTGCCCCAGAACAGCTGCAGAAATCTGTAGACAGGAACCAAGTCCTCTGGGTTGGTCCAGATGTTTCCTTGTTCCTCTAGGACCTCCTCTTCCTGTCCCTCTTCCATCGCAATTAGTCAGTGCCTCTTCTTAAAGTACAATACTTATTCCCAAATGGGACATCACCTCCTTCATTCTACGTCTGGTGCCTCTGTTAACACAACCAGAGGGATTACATCAAAGCAGCTCTGTAGTGCCTACCAAGAGCATAGACATTCTTTCTAGCTCCCTTGAGGCTTGCAGTCAAGAAGTCCTTTCCAGGCCAGAAATGCTGCCAGCCCCACTCCCTCCCTCTTGATCGAGTATGGCCCAGGATTTATTCTTTCTCTTCTCTTTCTCTCTGTGTCTGTCTGTTACTGTCACATGCACACTTGCACACACTCACTCACCCTTGCTGTGCAGTTTCTCTGACAACTGTGGATACAAAGCTGGATTTGACCCCCAGGGCCGGGTAGGGCAGGCCAGGCCAGGCCAGAGCATCTCTTTGGGAAGCCCCGTGGGTTAGGGGCACAGTGGTCTGTCAGAGGGAATAGCCTGGGGACACCAAGGTAAGTGGGAGAAGGCAGGTGACCTTCCCAGCACAATTCCCTACTATGAGGAGACTTCTTCAGCCCATTCCCTGAGAGACAGGCCCTGTTCGAGGGACATGGCCGTAGGAATTGTACCCAAGTGACACCCAACAGCTCAGAGATAGGGAAGAACTTATAAATCCTCTCCTGCCACCTCATGTCATCAATAGGCACCATGAGCCAGGGAGTGGGAAGGGCCGCAGGCATGGAGCCAGACACAGCTGGGATTGAATCAGGGCCTGCATAGAGCTGCTGGGACACTGGGCAGAAGTCACTGTGTCTTTGGGAACTTGGCTGCGTCAACTGGAAGTGGGTCTCATTGGGGCCTCACGTTCAGGGTCGTTGGGAGTGTGGATTGCACTTGCACTGGAGGGAGCTCCGTGCAGAACACTGCTCCCTGTAGGACACCCCTGGATGCCTAACAGTCGCCATGACAATAGCGAAGCCAGCAACTGCCGAAGCCACACCCAGCCTCCACGCCTGCACTAACCACAGGCCAGGCCTCGCTGTGAGCACGTTCTTACATCGCCAAGTCAAATCCTTAAGTTCTGTGACACTGTCCCCACTACACAGCAGAGGATGCTGAGCCCAGGAAGCTGGGTCACGCTCAAGGTCACACGGGTATTGAGTGGCAGAATTGGTTTGGAACCGGCCGTCTGCCTCCAAAGCCAACAGTCTGGCCACCTCGCGGATCCACCTCAACTTCCTCTCTTCTCTCATCTTTCTCTTGCTGTTTCCCCCCTCTCCCTTCAGGGTCCTGAAGGAAAATCAGGGAAGCAAGGCGAGAAGGGCCGCACTGGAGCCAAGGTGAGTGCCCCCTCCTGCCTTGATGGGCCCCCATATTTCCCCCACATCCCTCCCCTCCCCAGCCCCTCTGTCCTGCTGAGGCCCGGTGACAGCTTGTCTCTCCCCCTGTTGCAGGGTGCCAAGGGCTACCAAGGACAGCTGGGTGAGATGGGCGTCCCTGGAGACCCCGGACCCCCTGGCACCCCCGGCCCTAAAGGGTCCCGGGGCAGCCTGGGACCAACGGTGAGGACTCTCTGGCTGGAGTGGGGGAGTCATGCATGGAATAGAGGGGACCAAGGGCAGGAAAGGGGAACACCAGGCTTCCCTGCGCTGGTATCACCTGCCCCCACTATTAATGGAACACCCGGTGCTCACTGTGCCAGCCGCCTCTCTGAATCGTGAATCCCTTTGGTAACCTGCAGAAAGCCGCAGCTGTGCCTCCAGAACAGTATACACCACACCGAACATTCCTGCTATTTGAAGGGGGTGTGAGTCCCCTACAGCCCTCTCTGGACCCAAATTAATTAGCCTTGTTATTAGCATTAGGGGAGAAAGGACCAGATCCTTAGGACCGTTTTTATCAAACGAGGAGATTTCACACTGGAAATAGATTCAGAAGGAACAGGGCGATGCTGCTGCAGGTCCTTGGATGACTCCGAGGGTGTCCCAGGGCATTGCTGGGCTGCCCTGAAGGAAGGGGCCCAGAGGGGTTTGATATCTGCAGGAGAGGAAGACCCCAAGGGGGAGCAAGGGAGGGAGGCTGGAGAGGGTGGCAGAGCAGCTCTGAGCTGGCTGAGTGTAAGGATAAGCAGCCAGCTGGTTTGTGGCATTTGCCCGTTTCCGCGGTGTAAGGGCTTCCTCCATGGCTGATTTCAAGCCACCGACAGTAAATGCAGAGTGGGAGGAGTTACACAGCAGCCCTCCCTTAGGCAGTGTTTCTACCAATGCGCACACAGATGCAAGGGACCAGAATAACCCCCTTAGCGTAGGTAGGAGGAAAATGTAGTAAAATGGCTAGAAGGAGATGAGTTTTGAATATCCTCTATCTTTATTTTAATAAAATTAACTTAATTGAAGTCCATAAAATTTGTTAATAACTGCTCTGTTTCACTGGCTTGTAAAAGTCCTGAAAATTTAGCAATCGGCTGTCTTGAACCCCTGGAGCCGGGAGGAGGAGGGCTGGGACGGTATGGGGAGCTCCAGGGAGGAGCGGTGATGTCACTGACTTTCTGCCTTGTTCACACACCTTCGTTATGGGCAGTGTGGATGTGCCAGGCTGCTGGGCAGAGCGGGGCTGGAGCCTGTCGGGGAGACTGCCTGTGTCCCTGCTGTGAGAGCCACATTCCATACCAACGAGGGTTTCCTCCTCTTGTAGGGTGCTCCGGGACGCATGGGGGCCCAAGGAGAACCGGGACTGGCTGGTTATGATGTAAGCAGATATCACCTCCCCTCAGCCCCCGACTCTTCCCTGCAGGCGGGGACACAGGCCCATGCCAGCCTCTGCCCACCATCTCCCAGCTGAAGACTGGCCCCTGGGTCACTGAAGATGTGGGGTCTCACCTGCCCCAGGGAGTCCCAGGCCCAGAGCCCTGGTGGGGGTAGAAGATCATGGATGGGACAGGTGTGGTTGGGTTGAGCTACCCCAGCCCTCCTGAGAATTTCCTGCCCTGGGAGGGCGCTCCGCATGCCTTAGCTGCTGTCTGGGGAAGGGACCATTTTTGCATCCAGGCTGGCACCTTCTTAGACATGGCTGAGCCAAACCCAGTTTACACATCTGGGGAGATCAGGGTTCAGAAGGGTACGGCGCCTACTCAGAAGGGGAAACCGTGGCTCGGGAGGATAAAGAGCATGCACGAGGCCCGACAGTGTCAGTGTGGAGGCGGGATCCTCACCCTGGTCTCTGCAGTTCTAGATCCAGTATCTAGAAGAGATACAGCAGGGAGGGGAGGAGAGGGAGAGGAAAACAGGTGAGACAGGGGAGACCCGAAGGGGCGCTGTGAGGAGCCCCAGGGGTGTCTGCACCTGCAGGCCTAGCCAAGGCCTGGAAGGTCTGTTGAGGCCAGCATTTTGCCCCTGTCCCTGGTCCTGGCTTGGAGGACAAAGCTGGCTCTCCTGAGATAACACTCCCAAGTCTGCTCCAGGGTGGGGCAGGCAGGGCCCCCGACCATCCAAACTGGAACACCCCTTTGGGGCATGTCTGGAGCCAGCATGGAATATCTGGAAGGCCAGGACCCAGAGAGGCACAAACTTAGAGCCACACAGCCCACTGCGGCAGAGCTGGGAGTCAGTTTCGAAGCCCAGTGTCCCCATCTCAGAGTGCGAGTCCTTTGTCCTTCCTGAGTTCTCATTCTCACTTCCCTCCTTCTTGTTTTCCTGTAGGGACACAAAGGCCTCGTGGGATCCCTCGGACCTCCTGGGCCAAAAGGCGAAAAGGTGGGTGTTTGCTCTGGGGGAAACGGCTGCACCCATGTCTGAGGTTGAGGCCAGCTTCGGGGCGAGCAGGAGAAAGCTCCTGGGGTACCTATGGCTGGAGAAGCCTGTGAGGGCTCGCCCCCTGCAGCAGCCAAGGCTAGTGTCACTGCCACCACACCCAGCAGGCAGGAGCCATCAGATCCACGTTCAGCACTGTGTGCTGGGTGTCATCTTTGCATCTAGCACTGGAACGAAGACATGCATTCCCTGCTCTCACGGGGCTTACAGTCGAGAAGCAGAAATGGACATCAATCTTGTAATGACTAAAGCTGTGACTCCATCATCTGTGTGGACATGGGAATTGAAGCCTTGCCCGTGAATCAGATCACCCAGCGAGAGTGGGGAGAGGCTGCGGAGCAGGAGAGGGCTTAGGACAGAGAGCGAGGAACCCCAGTGGTTAGTGGTCAAGGAAGGAGCCACCAAGGCAGAGGGCAAGGCGTGTTCATTCTCCACCCCTTGGCTCCATAGTCGGTAGAGGAGACGAATTGCTGGAAGGTCCTTGCTGATCCCTGGACCCTCCGCTGCCATGCAGGTGGGGATTGTGGAGGGCTGGGAGTGCCAGAAGCTCCAAGGTACTGGTGCTGTGTCACGTCCAAGGCAAAACAGATCTGGCGCCAGAAGCCACGCGTCTGAGTCCTACCTTTATGGCCTGAGTCCCTCCGGTCCTTCCTCCTCCTCCCCTCCCCTGCTGGCTCAGCTGGAACACTGCCCTCAGCCCTGCCTCCCCAGCACTGCTTTCTTTTGCCGAGTCAGCTCCCTGCTAACTAAATCTCGCTGTCGGTGACTCACGCTGGCCCAGCATGCTGCCCAGCCGACCCCTTCCTCCTGCTGGAAGAGGACAGCTCAGCCATCAGAGTGGGCATCCACCCCAGCAGATTCCACAGGAAGCCACAGAAGGTGCCACTCAGTACCCCAGGTCCCTCCTGGGCCCTCGCAGCCTGCCAGGGCTGGCACAGAAGGAGTTAACACAGACTCAGAAACAAGGAAGCCATGGTGTCCCAAGGCCTGCACTCAGGCCATCTGCAGCTCTAGAAGCAGTCCCTGTGGCTGCTGAGGATGGGATCTAATACCAAAACTGCCCTAAGGCTTCAGGGGCCTTGTGGGGGGGGGGTCCCCAGGATTCCCTGAGCCTTGATTGCCTCATGAAGTGGTGGGGTCCTTGGGAATGAGAGGCCAAGGTGGAGGACGTCACATGTATGACAACCAGATGTCTTTTCCGACTTAGGAGTCATTAGATCAGTTCATTCCTCCAGCTCTACAGCAGTGTTTATGGAGGTCTTAGCATGTTCTAGGCCCCGAGCTAGAGGGTAGCAACGACACGCTTAGCGGTCTCAAATATAGTGCTGGTCCCAGGAAGGAACAGCCACCCACAAGCTGGACGGTGCTGGGAAGGCAAGAGCAGGGTCCTGGGAGACCCACCAAGCACGCGCCCACATGGAGACCTCTTTCCCTGCCACTGCTCCCGCCATCCTCACCACAGCCTCAGTGCGGAGACATCATTGTTCTACAAGACAGGCGGAGAACCTGAGTCCCCATGAGGCTCAGAAACTAGCCCAGGATCTGTTGTAAGAGGGTGGCAGGGCCAGGATTTAGACCCCATCTGTCTAATGCCAGACCCTGCTCCCCCAACCAAAAGCAGACTCAAGGAACCCAGATGCTCTTGAACTTGAACCTCCCACCCCCACTCACCGTGGGGGTAAGTTCACGACAAAGCTGGTAGCTGGAGAGAGGGGATGAGATTCTGTGCCTTGGACAGCACAGGGACAGTGTCCTACCAGATTCCTGGCACGAAAAAATGCATCCCCAACTACATCTGCCTTGCGGGGGATCAGTACAGCTGGCTTTGGGGGCAGATTGCCCCCTGATGCCTGAGTGGCCTTGGCTAAGACCTTCCTTCCTCTCGGTTTTGCATCTTTAAGTGTGGACAGCAGTCCCAGTGGCACAGATCGGATGAAACCTCATGAAGTGCCTGGCACATGGAACCCGCTAGGTCAAGACAGGCAGGCCCCTTCCCCAAAGCCCCGAAGTCCAACTGCCTCCGCCCACAGTGGGACCTGAGCACTGGGTCAAAGACCCATAGAGAGCAGGCAGGAGAAGGAATCCCCACTCCCTGGGCCACCCCTCTGGGTACAGCTGGTTCTAGGCCTCAGGCCAAGTCCCTTCCAGCCTTCAGCCTCCACCCACAGGAATCACAAAGGCCCCAGGCTGGTGGCTGATCACCACCAGCCTTCAGAACTGACTCCAGCCAGGGATGTGCCCCGCCCCAGGGACGGTTTGCCTGTGCCCTGCCTCTTCTGGCTTCTTTCAGCCCCTCTGAACAAAGGGGCTCAGGGGTGCCTGGCTTAAACCCTGTGCCCAGGAGAGTGACACCAGTTTTCTGGGACTGGAGTCTTCTGAGCCCTGAGATTTTGCCATTTGCTGTTTCACTTAGAGCTTCCTTATAGTTGAAAGGTGGCGTCTATACCTGTCCTGTGAGGGGACCAGGGCCTGGGGTGGCCATGCCTTGAGGACCTCGGCTCTAAGCTCTGCCCCACCTCCCCGCCCCCGCTCTGGCCATGTCCATGTGACACAGTCTCACTGCCACTATTGTTACCGGCTATGGCAATTTTAACACCATCTGCTGAGCCCCTGCTCCACGGGCAGCTGCCTGCTGAGTGCCTCCTGTGCATTTCCTCACTGAATCCTCTGAACAGCACCGGGAGGTACCCCCGTCCCGCTCTGCACACAGGAACCTGTCTCATGGACACGGCCCCCATGCTGACCAGCTGCCAAGTGCCCCCTGGAGGGTAGGAGGTTCATCCTAAAGCTGCTTCCTCCCAGCAAGGATCAGAGTCATTGACTCTCGGATTGAGGGTGAAGAACTCTGAGCAGGTCCCATCGTCTCTTCAAGCCTCAATGTCCTCATCTGCAAATTGGGATAATACCTGCATCTGCTTTGTGGCGCCGTGGGGCAGATTTCACGAGTCTGCCTGTGTCTGGCCTGGAGCAGTGCCCATGCATGCCAGCTGCTGGAGTTGGTGTTACTCCCTGCCAGCCTTCGAGCCTCATGCCGTGGAGTCCTCACCACTTCTTGATGCGCATCACATGCTGTCCCCTTCACCCCACCCCACTCTGCTCCCCTATTCCCCAGCCGAGGAGAGGAGCTCAGAGACAGGAATGGGCATGTTGCAGGACCATGTGGCTGGTCCTTTGCAAGCCAGGATGTGAACCCAGCTGTCTGAGCTCCCTGGCTTCCTGCAGAATCCTACAGCTCAAGGGCATTGGGATGGGTCATGCCCAGCAGCATGGAGGGCACAAAGCACTGTTCTGTGTTCCACACCACCCTGGGTCTAGCTCAGACACCGCTACCCTTCCCTCTCTAGTTTGTGTCCCCATCTGTAACCCTAAGAAGGCTGGACTTCTCTGACGAAGCCCTTTCTGTCTGAAATTCCTCACATTCCCCAGGGGCAGGCGGTTTGTCCTAAAGCTGGTTCTGTGTCCACAGGGGGAGCAGGGTGAGGACGGCAAGGCTGAGGGGCCCCCTGGGCCGCCTGGAGATCCGGTAAGCCCCCGCTCGCCTGGGCCATGTGCCGTCCTAGGTGGAACCTGAGCCTCCTGCTGCATGGAGAGGGGTGGACTGATCAGGGGCCAGGGCTGGCATCCTCTGCACCTGGTGGCCCAAATTTTGCTGCTGTCTTTGTCATTCAGGGCCCTGTGGGTAATCAAGGAGACCGTGGGGAACCTGGAGACCCTGGATACCCAGTAAGTATCAGAGCTCCTACCTCTGGCAAGATCAGGCACGACGGGGAGAGGGGCAATGACATGAGTCTAGAAAAAATGAGAACTTCCCAGGCTTCTGTGCTGCCCCCAGTGCCTGAGGATGGGCCCCCCTCACCTGTCTCTCTCTGGCTTCCAGGGACAGGAGGGTGTGCAGGGCCTCCGTGGAAAGCCAGGCCAGCAGGGCCAACCCGTGAGTGCTGCTTCCTGTCCCATCCCTGCCTCCTGCCCTGAGTGGGGTTGAGCAGTGGGAATGAAAGAACTGGGCCCTTTAAAGCTTAAAGGGACCCTCCCTGCAGGAGGGTCTGGGGCAGCCATTTCCGTTTCTCCTGCCCCGACCCTGGGGATACCCCCCAGAACCTGCACCCCCAAACCCCTCCCCACCCCTCCCCCTCCAGGCGGAGACTGGCCACCCTCCCCAGGAGAGAATCCTGGGGCTGCCTTGCGTCATCTCACCTTGGTTTGCAGGGGCATCCAGGACCCCGGGGGCGGCCCGGACCCAAAGGATCGAAAGGCGCAGAGGTAAGAGGCCTGGGGCTTCAGCAGGGGAGACCGAGTCCCGGATGGGGGAGGCGAAGGCTGACCCAGGGTCACAAAGCAACCCTAACGCAGGCTGCAGAGGCTGCGAGGCAGGGCAGGGAGGGGCGGCCCTCGAGGAGCTGAGGGAGCAGGCTGCTTCTGGCCATGACCCCATCTCCCTTCAAACAGCCTGAGCCAGGAGGGACGATCAGCCCCATTTCACGGGGCTCCAGGAGGGGAGCCACCTGCCTGAGGCCAGCCAGAGTGACTTGAACCCAGGGCAGTCTAGGGCCAAGGCTGGCCTCTCTCTCCCCGACATCACACTAGAGAGAGAAAACTGGGAGGAATCAGTGAAGGGGGACTGGAGGAAGAGGAGGCGGAGACAGGGTGTTCAAGGAGGAGCCATTCCTGTCCCTGGCCCCGGACCCCTGCATTCCCTCAGCCCCCAGGCTGGGCCAGTGCTCTCTTAATGCCCTTCCTTCCCCCGGGTGCAACCCCTCACCCACACTCCTCAGGGATATGTGGTCCCTAAATGATCAGATGGACCCATGGCCTCTGGCTCCTCCCAGGAAATTGCCAATGCCCGTGAGGTGACACCAGGGCCCAGAGCAGGCTCAGAGACAACCCTGGACATTCCAAGGCTGGCCCTGGACCGAGGCTTCCAGGCCAGTGTGCTTGGGCACATCTGTGGCCTCACATGCTCACTCAGGGGCCCACGATCCTCTCAGTCTCTCTTTCCAGAGCTCCTAGTGTCCTGCACCTCCACCAGGCAGCCTTCATCATGTGGCCCTTGATTTTTCAGGGACCAAAGGGAAAGCAAGGCAAGGCAGGGGCCCCAGGCCGGAGGGGTGTCCAGGTGAGTGCCTGTAGCCGCTGTTTCCCCCAGCCTCCCTGCCCGTCCACACACACACCCACGGCCCTCCACCCTGCCCCCAACACCGAATGCCCTCACCAGCTTTTTATGTACCCCCAGGGCCTGCAGGGGCTGCCAGGGCCCCGGGGCGTGGTAGGAAGACAGGGCCCCGAGGGCATCGCTGGACCAGATGGGCTTCCTGGCAGGGACGGGCAAGCGGGACAGCAGGTGAGTGGGGCTTGCGTTAACAGATGGTGGATCCATTTGGGACCAAGTGTGGGGGAACTTCCCCAGGCCATGGGCCAGAGGAGCCCCTTTAGAAACTTGGATGGGTAGAACCAACACATCCAGAAGTTTCCTTGGGGTGGGCAACCATCTGATCCCCTGGCACCTGGAAGTGTGGACCTTTGACTGTCTCTCCTGGATGCCAGCACCCAGAAAGTCCTTCCATTCCTCCCCTAACTGGTGGATAGAGTTCCTATTCCGCCCCTTCCCCGCCCACAGTCCCACCCCTTCCCCCGCTCACAGTTCTCAGCTGCTCCTGTCCTCCTGGTCCAGTGTTGTCACACACATGTCCGTCTGACCATCCTGGAGTGTGACCCCTTCCTCCCGCTACACCCAGGGCTCACCCAGGCGTTAGGCCATCTGCTTTCTTGGCTATTTCCTGAAACACAAGAGACCCACCTTTGCCTGCTTTCTTGACAGGGGGAGCAGGGAGACGATGGGGACCCTGGTCCCATGGGCCCTGCTGGGAAGAGAGGAAATCCAGGTGTGGCTGGCTTGCCTGGAGCACAGGGGCCCCCAGGATTCAAGGTCAGATACTTCTTAATCCACTTACATCCCCCGCCCTTCCTGCTTGATGCAGGCTCTAGTGGTTCCGACTTTTCAGGCACCCATGTCCCAAAGCCTGAGTGAAAACAGAGTCCACACTGTTGACCTTTCTCGGGGGTCCTGCCCCAAGCTTGAACCAGACTTAAAAGGATAATTCATCCAGGGAGCTGTAAATACCACCCCTACCAGGCCCTTGAAACCTTCAACTGGTTTTTGAGCTGTCCACGGGTGCCCTCTCGTGGACATTTACGGAACAACAGCTGTTGCTTGCAGCCGGGATCCCCAAGGCATCCTCAGAAAGCTTCCCAGAGCAGCGTGGGAGGAGGGGGCCACCATGAATCCGTCAGAACCAAGGGCTGGACACTGAAGGGGAGATGTAGACGAATGATTCAGATGTGGTTCTTACCCTCCCTGAGCTCAAGGTTTAATTGGGGAAAGGTTGGAACCCTCTGAGACACAGGAGACAGAGGGAGAGATGGCCTTGACCCGGGGAAGATTTGAATGGGAATAGAAGGGGAAAAGGTGGCCATGCGGTGACTCAGGGCTGTACTCCAGCACTTTGGGAGGCCGAGGGGGGCGGATCACTTGAAGTCAGGAGTTCAAGACCATCCTGGCCAGTATGGGGAAACCTTGTCTCTACTAAAAATACAAAAATTAGCTGGGCATGGTGGTGGGTGCCTGGAGTCCCAGCTACTCGTGGGGGCCGAGGCAGGAGAATCACTTGAAACTTACTGCAACAAGTTAAGTCGAGATTATACCGCTTCGCTCCAGCCTGGGTAACAGAGTGAGACTCCATCTAAAAATAAATAAATAAATAAATAACAAGGGGAAGAGGCACTCTAGGGGTGTGAGCTGAGGTTTGCAGGAGGAGCTGCATGCTGTGGGGACAAACAGGAGGAGAGGAATTGCCAGAGAGGAGCGAGGAAGGCAGGGCCGGGAATGCTGCGGGAGGGAAAGAGACATTCCTCTCTGGGAGGTGAAAGTCTGGCCACCACCCCCCACCAGGCCTCCATTTGTTGCCCCAGCCTTGCAATCTCAGGTGCCCTGTGGAATCACTGTTCTGACTCTCCTAGGCCCCCCTCCCTCCCCCTCCCCTAGATCCCCTTCCCTGCTTTGACTGGTAATTTTGATGTGTTTCTTTAAGGGTGAGAGTGGGTTACCTGGACAGCTGGGTCCCCATGGCAAGCGAGGGACCGAGGGCAGAACGGGGCTCCCTGGAAACCAGGGGGAGCCTGGGTCCAAAGGCCAGCCGGTGAGTGAGGCCCAGAGAATGCACGTGCCCACACACTTACACATGCACGCACTAAGACCTACACCTACAAACACAGGCACACTCATACACACACACAAACACATTGACCCAGAAGCCACCTCCTTGCTCTGTGACAAGGGCTACAATCTGGGTACTGGATACCATTTTGCCACCCCTGAGCCAGGTGGTAGAGGAGGCTGAGGAAAGAGACTCGAGTGGTCCCTTCAGAATGAGGAGAGGGTACTCATAATCAGAAGGTGGGCTCTGCTGACTCCCAGTCCAGTGCTCTTTCTGTGCCTCACTGCCTTTGCCCCTCTGTCCCAGAGGCTACATTCAACTTACCCCAGCCTAGAAAAAGGAATAATGAACGGAGAATAAACAGGGCACATAGGAAACACATACCAAACAGTTTTAATACCTCAATTAAAAACTGAGATTGTCAGAGTGGGTGAAAAAGCAAGACCCAACTACATCCACTGCTACAAGGAATCCACTTTAAATATAAAGATATAAGTCGGTTAAAGATAGAGGTAGAAGAAGGCATACTGTGCTGACATTCATCCCAAACAGCTGGAGTAGCTATTTTAATACCAGACAAAATGGGTTTTGTCTGGTATTAAAGACAAAAAGAGCAAAGACTACTAACAGAAATAAAGGTCATTTCATAATGACAAGGAAGTCAACTTATCAAAATTGCATGAGAATCATAAATGTTTGTGCACCTAATAATAGATCTTCAAAATAATCAGGCAAAGACTGATAAAGCTACAAGGAGAAATAGACAAATTCACAATTATAGTCAAGATTTTAATGTACTTCTGTCCTAATGGGTAGAACAGAGGTAGACAGAAGATCAGTAAGGATGTCTTGAACTGTATTATCAACCAACATGATCTAATTGACGTTTATAGAACACTGCACCCAACTTCAGCAAGATACACGTTCGTTACAAGTACATTCAGAACATTTACCAAGACAGACCATATTTTGAACCTTAAGACCAATACATAAATTTTATTTATAAAATATTTTAGTAATATAAATATTAAATAATGTATTTAATAGTATAAATAAATATTTTATCAATTCATCCTTTAACAAATTTAAACGGATTCAAATCACACAAAGAATGTTCTCTTACCATAATGAAATTAAATTATAAATCAATAACAGAGAGATCTGAAAAATCTGCAAACATTCGGAAACTAAGTAACAAATGTCTAAATGACTCAGGGGTCAAAGAAGAAATCAAAAGGGAAGTTAGCATTTTGAATTGAATGAAAGTAAAACGCAGCACGTAAAAATCGGTGAAATGCTGTTGATGTAATATTTAGGGAGATCTTTATAGTAATACCTTCTGTATTAGAAAAGAAGGAAGGTCTCAAATAAATGGCCTCAGATTCCATCTTAAGAAATTGGGGGTTGGGCTGGAGAAGGCAAATTTAAAACAAAGTAAGCAGCAGGAAGGAAATAATGAAGATAAAAATAAACAAACAAAAAAAATGGAAAATCAAAAGTTTTTTGAGATCTGTAAAACTGATAAACCTTTTGCCAGACTAATCAGGAAACAAAAAAAAAAGAGAGAGAATCCACAAGTTACTAGTATCAGGGATAGGGGAGCAATGTTACTACAGATATGACAGAAATTAAAAGGATAATAAGAGAATGATAACTTTATGCCAATAAATTTAAAGACCTAGATGAAATGGACAAATTTCTTGAAAGACAAAATGATCACAGGTCACTCAAGAAGAGACTGATAACCTAAATAGCCTTGTATCTATTACAGAGATTGAATCTGCAGTTAAAGAGCTTCCCAGACAGCAAACTCTGGGCCTAGATGGTGGTCACTGGTCAGTGCTACTAAACATCACAGAAGAAATAATACCAAGAGTCTATGTGGAATAGACTCTTCCAGAACACTGAAGAGAAGATGATTACCACAACTCTTTCCTTGAGGCTGATATTACCCTGATGTCAAAGCCAGACAGACATTACAAGAAAAGGAAATTACAGACTAATATGCCTTTTTTTTTGACATAGATACTTATTTATTTGCATAAAGTTTCCACACATGCCATTTAAAAACTCCAGTGTTTTTTTAAAAAATAAGCCCTTAACAGCTCTAAGACACATGCCTCATAAATATAGCTACCATGATTCTCAATAAAATTTTAGTTAGATGAACCTAAGAATATATAAGAAGAATAATACATCAAGACCAAGCGGGGTTTATCTTAGGAATGTGAGGATGGTATAACATTTGAAAATAAATCAGTATAATTCACTGTATTAACAAACTCAAAAAGAAAACCCATTTGATCACCTCAGTAGTTGCAGGAAAAGCATTAACAAAAATCTAACTCTGCTTCTGATAAAAACTCTCAACTTGATAAAGTGCATCCATGGAAAACCTAGTCAACATCATACTTTATGGTGATTGACTGAATGCTTTTTTTCAAGGAGTGGATCAGAAGCAAGTCAAGGATATCTGTTCTCACCACTTCTATTCAACATTGTACTGGCAATTCTAGCCAGTGCAATAAGGCAAGAAAAATAAATAAGAGGCATTCATATCAAAAAGGAAGAATTAAAACTTTTCATTTGTAGAAGAAAGGATTGTCTATGTAGAAGATCCATTGGCATCTACAATAAAGCTACTAGAATAAGTGAGTTTAACAAGATCACAGGACACCAGATCAGTATGCACAAATGTGATTGTATGTACTAGTCAGTATGCATAAATGAATTGCATTTCTATACACTAATCAGTGTACACCAATGAACTGCATTTCTATACACTAGCAACAAGCAATTAGAAATGGAAATCTAAAAAGCAATACTATTTATAATAGCATAAAATACTTAGAGATATATCTGACATTAGGTGTGTAACATATATACACTGAAAACTATAGAACACTGGTAAGGGAAATTGAAGAAGACTTAAATAAATGGAGATATATACTGTGTGCATGTGTCAAAAGACTCAATATTAATATGTCAGATTTCTTCAAAATGGTCTATAGATTCAGCACAATTCCAACTAAATCTTATCAGGTTTTCATGTAGAAAATGACAAGCTAATCCTAATATACATATGAAATATAAAGGACCTAGAATAACTGAAACAACATTGAAAGAGAAGAGCAAAGTTGACAGACTAATGGCACATGATTTCAAGACTTATTACAACTCTGCAGTTATCAAGAAATTGTGTTATTGCCACAAATGCACTAACAGATCAAAGGAACAGAATAAAAGGTCCAGAAATATACCACACGTATATGGGCAACTGATTTTTAACAAAAGTGTGAAGGCAATTCAGCAAATACAAAATAGTCTTACCTAACAAATGGTGCCAGACACGTGATGCCTCATAACATGTACAAAAATTAACTCAACCTGGATCATACACCTACATGCAAAACCGAAAATGAAAACACTTCTACAGCATAGAAGGACATCTTCAAGAACTTGGATAAAACAAAGATTCTTAGATATGATACCAAAAGCATGACCCATAAAAGAAAATGTGATGAATCAGACTTCATCAACTTTTAAAATTTTTACTCTTCAAAGGACACTATTAAGAGAATGAAGAGACAAGCCACATACTGGGATAAAATATTTCTAAATCATATATCTGATTAAGGATTTGTATCCAGAACCTATAAAGAGCTCTCAAAACTCAATAATAAAAATAAACAGCCCAGTTTTTAAAAATGGGCAGAAGATTTGAATAGACACTTCAAAGAAAATATACCGATAGCAAATAAGCACATGAGAAAAAGGTTAAGATCATTAGTCATTAGACAAATGCTCATTAAAACCACAATAAGATGCTACTGCACACCTATTAGAATAGTGAAGAGCTTTAAAAGACTAACCACACCAAGTTTTGGTGAAGACGTGGAGCAACTGAAACTTTCACACTCTGATAATGGAAATTTAAAGTGGTACAATCACTATGGAATCAGTTGGGCAGTGTCTTTAAAAGTTAAGCCTATCCCTACAGTATAATCCAATCATTCCATTCATAGATATTTACCCTACATAAATAAGGACATTCAGCCATACAAAGACTATATATACTAGACGGTGCCTAGCAGCTTTATTTATGATAGCCCAAATTGGAAAAA